GTAATTTTAAACATGTATGACATAAACCATAAAAGCTCCATATAATCCAATTAAAAACAACAACAACCTCTGATCAGTGGTTTCTCATATCAATAATAATCCTGCGATTGTCCTCTTATGATTAAATGATGATTGATTTAGATGATGTCAGCAGCAGAAATACATTTTTACCAACATAGCACCTTCTGAGCTGAGGACACTGGCTACAGCTGAGCTGTTGCCATGGTATTACACCTCCATTTAAAACCATATATATATATAGGAGGAAAAAGGAGGGACGAGTCAGCTCCACAGAGAGACAGAACAATATCAGAACATCCTGTGAACATGAAGTGTGTGCTAATTCAAAACTTCCCATCTCCAAAATGACACCTTTCCAGCAACTAAGCAGACACGCTGACTCTCAGGTGAAAGTGTTTCACAAAGTGTTACGCCGTGAGAATTTATTCCTTAAACTGTGAAAATCTGATAAATGTACGGTGTGTGATGTTCATTTTAACATCACACAGGGATGCCTGCAGTTCTGCTGCGATATATCTGTAGCACAAACTGCTTTGCTTTAATGCGTTTGTTTCCATATGTATAGGAATGCCCTCGGTCTCATTAAACAACTCAATATTTCTTGTTCTTGATTCATTTGGCGGTTTTTTGCTTCTTGCGTCACTATTACCTAATAATTTCAAGAAATAAAGCAGTAAAATCTCTGTTTTTATGTAATTTTCTTTATTGTACAGTATTGTCCTTAAAGAAAGAAAAAAACCTTCATCTTTTGCAGTTTTAGAAAAATAGCAGGATTGATCCGCCTGATTTATTCAGGTCCAAATGAAACATTTAAAAACAAAAACAAATCAAAAAACAGTAGAATATTAAAAAAATATTGATGTTCATGCTCATCTTTACTGCCGCTTTTAACACATGCAGCAATGTAAATATATACAGTCCACACTGACGTAATAAAGAAACCATTTGTACATGACCTGAAGCCATGTTCAGCAATTCTACCCTGTCCCGTCTTGTTACTGCGATGACCCCTCCCCACTCTGTTTGTTCGTGTTTGTGTGTGGGAGGAGGGCAGAGTAGCAGAGGTGGGTCCATAGGGGAGCCACACCTGGCACCGCTCCAGTGACTGCTTTATCAGAGGGCCGGGTTTGCACAATCCATCTCTCTTCTCCATTTGTTGGGTTTACGGCTTGCATGCATTTCCACTCGTCCTTGCGCTCTTTACACTGCTGATACAGATAATCTACATTTTATTCACAGTAAGGTCAATTTGATTAAAGGAATCGTATTTATTTCAATTTCCTTCTTTGTGTCGACTGTGAGCTGGCATACGTGCTGGGAATAGATGTTTCTGCAACAAGCTAATATCAGCAACTGTGTCCATCCATGCCTTTAACTTTTATCTTTTTTTTTCTTTTTCCTTGTTTGCCATTTATGAGCATGAAAAGATTTAATAATCCCAAACATGAGAAACAATAATATTTGAGCTATAAATGTGAATATATTATTAACCCTTTAAGACCTACCATAGAACCAAACCCACCAGAGATTATATTATATTTTTACATGTTGTGGAGCCATTTTCGGGAGCATTTCAAGTTGATTTACATCAATACAACTGTTATAGCCCAAATTTTAATAATATGTATGCATTAAGTGCATAGTAATTACATAAATTGCAAAAAAGTGCAATAAACTACAAAAAAATTGAAAATCTTTTTTGTTTTTTTAACATATATTTAGGGGAAATTTAAGAGGCTTATCCCTCAAAACTGTAAATACAAAAAAGTTGCACAAAATAGTTTCCCACCACAGGAAATTTATTTTGAGTGTCTTCATAGTTTTATTTTTGAAATACACCAATTTTTATATACTGCAGGAAAAACGAAAATAAATATTATAATGCAAATTTGCAAAAAAGCAGCATATGTATCAAAATAAACTATTTCCAGCAGTGCAATATGAGTCCTAAGCATCCCAGAAACGACACAGAAAGTCATAAAGTCAAACATAACTTTTAAAAACACAAGTATAGGCTCCTGAGGCCCCGATGGTAAAGAACTACATTTCCGCAAAATGACGTCACTTCCGGTTTTAGGCAGGTCATGGCGGACATGCGATAGTTCACGTTGATGGACGTAGGAAGTGTTATGAACAGCTGATCGGATCGGCAAAGCCTGTTTCTGGAATATTATGTTTTTGTTGCTGCAAGTGCTTTTTATGCAGTTTTTGCAAAGCTATATGTGGAAGGAAACTGTGACGTAGGACAAGCTGATGGCATAAGATGTAAGTACAACTCCTCCGGTTTCATATGCAAAAAAATTATGGCGCTAGCTTACGTGGTTGCAGTGCTACCGGGATTTAAAAATAGTTATGCAAAATGGAGCGTGTACGCTCCGACCGGCTTTAAAGGGTTAACTTGTATTTTTATCACATTTATAATTTGACAATAACTGAAAAACAAAGCAGGGGCACACATATAAAAAGTTCACAATGTACAAAATAATAGCAAATAAAACATGAAAACAGAGCACACGAGGGCAGGCGGGCAATGGCAAGTGACAAGCAGATGACATTCCTGGAGTTTTTGTTTGTTTCTTTGTGCCATACCATGACCTTCCATTACTTTGTAAGATTAGAAAATCAATAATCCAATTTGTTTGAGTTGTATAATCCCTTACAGTGAACATCAAGTCCCCAATCAGTTTTGTAAAAGCTATATTATTTGTTTTGAGGCGACGCAAAGCACTCCCTTTGCACTTGATGCCTCGGTGTAATCGATTACAAAGAAAGTTTAAAAATGGATTTTCACGCTGCGCTGTACTGAACAAGACAAAAGGCTGCCAAAAATGAAACATCTGAAGATGAAAATATAACCAATAGGATTTGGAGTTAAAGAGTAACTAAATCCCAACCGCTGCTTTTCTGTCCCCTCTGGCTAACAGTTTAATCTGTTTCACCTCACGATCACACCCGACAGCAGAGTAAGACACACAAGTAAGATCCGGTCAGGAGGAACACCAGCATGCTTCTTTAAGAAGAACCTGTCCAAATCCTATAAATAGGGTCTGCTAGTTTTCCCTTTTTGTGTGCAGATATGTGCCTGAACTCTCCAGCTTCCCATCATTTTCCTGCGAGACGTGCAGACGGTTCAGTTACTACTCTCTCGATTTCTTTGTGCATCTCTGTCTCCGGGGCGGGAATGAAAAAGGTCAAAGGTGAGCTGTGCTTGAACCCCGTGGTTGTGCCGCTTACAGTATCCCTGGGAATGCGCCAATTAAGCTCCAGTCCCACAGCTAGCTTAACCCCCACCCTAACAGGATTCAAGGTATTTGTGAGTGTGTGCAAGTAGTAAACACAAAGGCGATATTGGCACAGTTTAGAGGAAGCTTTCAGTGTGTGTGTGTGTGTGGGGGGGGCTGCTCAGCTCTCGGCTTGTTTACATGCACATAATCAGCTCAGCATACCTGCAGCAGCAGCAGCCTGGTTTCGTAAACGTGAAAACTAAGAAAACGCAGGTTTGTTTGAGATTAAGAGATACACGGTTTCCAAGCTACCGCAGATGTGATTCCTCTGTAATGTACATCTATGCTGTTTAACGTGAGCTTGTATATCTTTGCATATCTTAGTGCATGCCCCTCAGCACCCTGCATAATTATGTTTATATGTTTGGTTTTGTGCACAAGATTACAGCGAACCACTGACCAAAAAACAGGAAAAAAAAACATGGAAGCTATCGGCAACTATTGCAATCATCAGACTTCAGCTTCACTCGCTCTGAATCACGTAGCAGCGCCTTCTTTCTTCAACAGACCTTTAACATTTCTGACATTTTGATCGCAGGCTGAGAAAGTTTTCTGCGCCCACAGGACTCAAATCAGTAAATATATAACTCTAAATTGAGAGCTGGCTGACTTCAGCTTTAGACAGAAAGTCTGGGAAACACAAAGGAGGGCGAGGGCCCTTTGAGGGAAAAGAATTCATGAGACAGCATTTTGTTTGGGTTTTTTTCCCTCTTCAAGTCACAAAGATTAACTTTTGCTAGAAGTTGGTGTTTTTATGTGAGGGAGGCTTCACTGCTGCCTCATGTGCCAGCTTTACTTGGGAGACAATGTATATATGTGTGTGTGTCTGCGCACTAATGTGTAACGCATGATTGAAAATGACATGCCCGAAATATTCGAAAAATGCTTTAAGTTGGTGGGGGATGGGTCACATGACACCAGAACGCCATGTTGACCTTGTTTTTTCTGAGAGTGCATGTGAGAGAGTGAGCCGGGCAGCCTTCCTTCGCTTTAGTCACATGATATGTATGAAAACATGTAACAATTGGGTTTTGCTGATATAAAAACTCATTTTGTAATCCCCATAAGTACTGTGAGTGTTGTGCATGGGGGGAGAGGCACAGATGATAGAATACCTGAATGCAAACACACCATCTGTGTTTATGGCATCCTGAGTTTCAGAATGTGAATGAAAGCAGGCATCACAATGCTGTACAACCACAAATATACTTCATAAATTTACATATGCACTGGGGTTCACCAGTTTGGATGACAGACTGGGGAACCAGCATATGATTGAGCGCTGGAAAATGTGTACACTGTGATTGTTTAACGCTTCTTCCACTAAAGCAGGGGTGTCAAACTCCAGTGTGTCCTGCAGGTTTTAGATCTCACCCTGGGTCAACAGACCTGAATCAAATGATTAGTTCATTAACAGGCTTCTGGAGAACTTCAAGACATGTTGAGGAGGTAATGTAGCCATTTAAATCAGCTGTGATGGATCAAGGACACATCTCAAAGCTGCAGGACACCGGCCCTCGAGGCCTGGAGTTCAACACCTGTGCACTAAAGGCAGGTCTGAAGGAAAAAGGTGGTCAAATCTAGTGCTAGTAAAGTATACCTAATAAAATGGCATTTAATTCTTTGTGGCAAAGATTCGACAAGGTGCCGGAAAGATTCCTCAGATGTTTTGGTAACCTTGACTTGAGAGCATGACACAGATCTGCAGATCTATTATTGGCTGCACATCCGTGATGCAAATATCCAATATTACCACATCCCGAAGGGGCTCTACTGTAGTTCTGATCATTCAAGTAACTGGTTTTAGATTATGTGAGCTATGTGACATGGTGCATTATTATTATAAGCAGACATCAGGACATAAAGGGACAGACATGGTGAGAAATACATTCATGTAGACTGTGGCCTTTAATCCTTTAAGACCTATCATAGAAGTCCGCCAGAGCTTATATTATATGTTTACATGCTGTGGAGCCATTTTTGGGAGCATTTCAAGATTACAGCCATTACAGCCTAAATTTTAATAATATGTCTGCATTAAGTGCATAGTAACTACATAAATTGCAAAAAAGTGCAATAAACTACAAAAAAATTTAAAATCATTTTTGTTTTTTTAACATATATTTCTAGTTAAAGAAATTTAAGAGGCTTATTCCTCAAAACTGTAAATACAAAGAAGTTGCACAAAATAGTTTCCCACCACAGGAAATTTATTTTGAGTGTCTTCATAGTTTTATTTTTGAAATACATCAATTTTTATATACTGCAGGAAAAATGAAAATAAATATTATGATGCAAATTTGCAAAAAAGCAGCATATGCATCAAAATAAACTATTTCCAGCAGTGCAATATGAGTCCTAAGCATCCCAGAAACGACACAGAAAGTCATAAAGTCAAACATAACTTTTAAAAACACCAGTATAGGCTCATGAGGCTCTGATGGCAAAAAACTACATTTCCGCAAAATGACGTCACTTCCGGTTTCGGGCAGGTCATGGCGGACATGCGATAGTTCGCGCTGATGGACGTAGAAAGTGTTACGAACAGCTGATCGGATCAGCAAAGCGTGTTTCTGGAATATTATGTTTTTGTTGCTGCAAGTGCTTTTTATGCAGTTTTTGCAAAGCTATATGTGGAAGGAAACTGTGACCGAGGACAAGCTGATGGCATAAGATGTAAGTACAACTCCTCCGGTTTCATATGGAAAAAAAATTATTGCGCTAGCTTATGTGGTTGCAGAGCTACCGGGATTTAAAAATAGTTACACAAAATGGAGCGTGCCCGCTCCGATCGACTTTAAAGGGTTAAATGATGCTCAGCTGGTAGTAATACATGTGAATAAAAAAAAAAAAATCAACATACATAAGAGATAAAGACAATGGCTCTGCTGTAACTTGGGCTATATTTATATGCAAAGTGATCACTCAGGGAAAAAGCAACAGAAGATGCTGCACTGCTCTCTGGAACTCTCTGAGGCCTTGCTAATCACTCACCAAATAAGCACAGCAAAGAGGGAGGGCTGTTCTTGTGCCTGTGGTTTTTCTACTCTCCTTTTTTTGAAGGAATTAATTGGGGAAAAGAGATTCTGCCGAAGGGATATGAAAAATAGCTAAATCTTCTAACATTTGAAGAGGCGAATATTTGAATATTCTACAACTAAAAGAATCTAAGATGACAGAAGAAAAATCACATAAAGGTTCAAGTAAAGGTCAAAAGCCCTGGCATGTTGGAGTTTATGAAAAAGAGGAATGACTGCATTCAAATATTATTTAAATATTTTAATCCAGATGTGCAGATCCACAGTCAAGTCAGCAGGTAACACGGAGACACATCTGCAGGGTGATCTGTGACATCAGCTGTGTGATTCAGACCGAGCCCTGTCTCTGCTGCTCGTGCTCTCACCGTGAATGCAGTCGTAGCAGATGCATTTAAGGCACTATTTTTTTTTGCACTGTATTTAGCCGTTTACCAGCTCCTCTAGCATCAGACCATTAGAGAGCAGTGAGAGCCTCATTACCAGAGAAACCATCAAGCTCAGCTGGTCCAGGCTGCCAGTTTTTGTCCTTCTCCAGCTCCGTTTAGTGACATCTGGCCTGCATAAATTAAAGGCTATTGTATGAATTAATCATATTGTTTTGTATTCTAAATGCTTTCTGCAGCAGCGTCACTTCTGTAGGCAATAAATGTTTTAAAGTCAGATCAATGGGGAGATGCTGTGTCGCTCATTGTCATGTCAGTATATATTTATTGAAGGTTCACAGTGTCGCTCACGCTGAATAACACTAAGCTAAATTGAGAGCTGAGCTCCTGCTGTATGCACGTGTCTATTGTTTTTTTTTTTAAAAACAGAAATATGTAAAAGCTCTCCACAAGATGAAAATGACTTCAGTCCTTCCAAACAACATTGTCACTGAAAACAAAGATTTATTTTATTTTTCTCTCAATAAATATCCATTTTTGTTGTTTTGTTTATTTCATTTTATTAAAGTTCCCATTTTTCCCCCTCACAGTTTCATCACGTGTGTGTTACGTCAGCTGCCAAAGGCTTGGTAGGACAGGCTGCCATTTGCGTTGCTAACTATGGCCGGTGCGTTTGTATACAGTTGTATTTGCAAATGCTGATTTGTTTGTTTTGCATGTTTACCTTGGAAAAGGGTGATGTCTTTGACTAGTCCCGGCCCAAACAAGCCTTCCAAGATGCTTTCAAAGCCTGTGAAAGACAGACAAGATGTGACGTTAATGCCAGCTGACACAGTTCCCATCCAAACAACAAATGGCAGCGACCAGAAATACAGCTGCGAGGAATAAAACAATCGTTCTTTTAAGGAGGAAATGTGATGACAACGTGCGTTTCTCCTGGGATCGATTTCTGCTGATGCACAAAAGAAAGAAAAAGCGATATAATAATAAATGTGGGAAAAAAAACTATTTAAATGAAAATGTAAACATTTAGCAATATATTATTTTATGTGTGCACACAAATATGAAAATATATTGGTATACGCACACACACAGAATGATGTTAGAGCACAAAAACAAAGGCCTTTCGGTCACACAAAGAGTTAAATATCTACAAAGATAAGGCTCAGTGAGCACTTATTACATATACACACACACTAAAAAGAAAAGACACACACACACAAACACACACGCTTTCTTTCTAGCTCTTAAAGCAAATGAGCGATTTACCTCTAATACACCAAGCTAATGTCACTCACTTTTTATTAACTGTAAATACCCCCGATGTGGTGTTGCCAAGCAACAGCACACAAAAAAAACCCATAAATACGTATTGTAATTTTCAACCTGACCACCCCCCACCACCACCTCCACCTTTCTTCTCTCTTTCCTCCCCCCAACCCATCCTCCACTAAATGGAAACAGAGGCAGGCGGAGAGAAACGGAGACAAAGACATATGTGTGTTTAAATGTGTGTGCATTTTGAGCAGGGGATGGAAGGGTTGGAGGGGTGCGTGCAGGAGACGAACACAGTTCAAGTGTGGCCACTTCGCTCGGCGCTGAAGATGACAGTCTGAGGCCATGCTTCTTTACTCGCAGGAATAGCAGAGACTGAAAAACCAGAGCCTGCATGGAAATGTATTTCTGTTATAAAATCATTACAGTCAGCAGCAACACTTCAGCTCCCACAGCACCAACACTATAAGCAACCAATATAGGAAAGAGGTCAAAGATTCAAGGACTGCAGCTGCATTTTATAGGTTTCAATCCAATGTGGAAGAAACGCAGTTGGAATGAATCTGGTTTGATTTTGCACTTATTTTTGTTTCGCCGTAATTAATACACGACACGAGACAGCTGGTTCCTGTCCTGAGCACACTGGTTTCAAACTGTGACCGCAACAAGTCAGCTTTAATCTGACGGTGTATCTATCAAAACACTGTCTTTATTTCCAGATGCTTTTCAAGTCCCTTTTTTTTTCATTTTCACCATGAAAATCTGACTTTATACGCTTTGTTTTAAAACAATGAGCACATTACTGATTATGCGCTTAGACGCGCAGGAACACCCACACGGTAAGTCACACTGAAAAAAGTGTGCGAAACGCTGTTTGTTTGTGAAAGAGATACAGAAAGAAATCCCTCATTATCTGTCCCTTACTCTCCAGGCTTGTGTTGGCCTACAGCCACATACAAATGAACTTGTGCCTATGTCTTAATTTCCAGAAACATCTGCCATGTGGTGACACAACAACACATACAGAAATATTACTCAAGACGTTTGTCTGGCAAAATCCAGCTCAGGTTGAGTTTAAAATTAAATAACATACAGCAACAACTCCAGCATCATCTATTTAACAGGTCATCCCTTATCAATATGGAAAATAAACAGCTACTTTATATAATCTATATAGATTACAGCACTAGATTAGAAACAATTCAAGTACCATCAAACCAAATGTGGTCAATTTTTAAGTTAATATTTTTAATTAAGTTAATATTTTATAGTCGATATTCACATGGATGGTATTGATTAAACCTATTGTGATGGGCACTTTTTTTATATTTTGCAAAACATGTTGTATGAAAACACATCCACCTACCCAGCTTACCACACACACCCGCACATCACACTTCCCTTAAACCTGCACATGCAAAATTCATGCAACCAACAAAGACGGCTTTGATAACAAAAAACAGAAGCTTCAAAGAATTTTCAAAAGCTTCAATTTTTTTCTCCTTCCTCTCCAGCTGGCAATGTGCGCAGAAACACAGCTCTCCTTTCAAGCTGGGGGGATATAATTAGGGTTGCGGCGCTGCATGAAATCAGCGCTGAAAGTCAAAATTACTGAGCTGCTGCTCTATTTGGCCCATAAGATGGTGAGTGTTTGAAAGGTACAGTCGGCCGCAAACGCTTCTCCGACAGAAGAAGAGTAGAAGATGACTCCCCCGAAGGCCAAAGCCATGATTGGACGCATGAGATTGGGGATGCGATTGGACAAAATGAGATTAGGGGCTGTGATTGGCTAGATGAGATAACGGTGACAAAGTCTCTTGGGCCACTGGCAAAAAGA